TAATGAATAAAGCCTCTCTGCTGGGATAGCTGATCACAGTCAAATCCTCTCCAAAGGTCTATAAATGTTCATACAACTTAAAATATATATGTAGATATATCCAGAAATTTCCCTTTGAAAAATTATTCAAATACATAATATGTACCTATTATTCAAAATACATATATTTAAGTTGTATACACACGCACACACACACACACACACACACACAAGCTGTGGTATAGACCAGGGGTGCAGGGGTGAGAGGATTCACCAGAGACAGAGTGGAAAGCAAAACAGGCAGTTGTACTGAAATACACTGCTGAGGGGAGCAGTGGGTGAGAAAGGAGAGGCCTGCTGTGCCATGTGGGTCAGCTTCCTGACCGGGGATCAAATTCATGTTGCAGTGGCTGGCAATAGGTTGATAGCATAGATACTTTAGCCCCTGTGCCACCAGGGGGGGCCCTGAATATACATACATACATATACATATACACATACATATACATATACACATACATATGTGTGTGTGTGTATGTATTAGGAAATACAATTAGAAGAACAGATCCAAGAAATTTTACAATAAACAGTTATTTTCCTAAAGCAAATTCCAACTTTATAAAAATTTCAGACGTCACTATTCTTTGAGTCCTGGAATATAAGTCATTATTCTGTATTTTTAATTTTGTATATCATTACCAAGCTTTTAAAACATAGCCACAATGACTCTAGAATTCCACCTGGACAGAAAGCTGCTCTTCTCTGAAAGGATTGGGGACCACTGTCATCTGTCTCATGTACTCCTCCACAGAAGGCCTTGAGGGACAAATCTCACAGCAAAGACTTCACCTACACCTCCCACCCCCACTCAATGGTCCTTCCTCGTGGCCTCATATACACAGAGTGTTACATTTTAACAGAAGCATGGAGGGGATAAGCACTCCAATGAAGAGCAAACACAGTAGTGTTTCCAAATTTATACAAGAAACCAGACTCTTTATTTCTTGTCACTATAATGGAAGTAATACTTGTGGAATATATGACTAAAGTCTTTTTCCTTTCTGTGTACATGACCATTTTTACAGTCCACATCTCCACCCAACTACTGTAGAATGGGAGTTGCAGTAGGGAATTGGGATTCTTGAAAAAGAATTTTGAGTACCTACTGAGGCAATCTGGGTTGGGTGGTGGAGGATTAAAAAAATTTTTTGTGTTTCATTAGCATATCAAAAGTTAGGTTCCCATCAACTTAAACATGGAGACTGCATGGAGACTGCTAGAAGTTAGGGAAAATTGAGTATATGATTTATTTCACATCAAACAAAGAGGAACTGGTCTTGTACTTAGGAGAGAAGAGAGCAATAAGAGCAATTGGTCAGACCATCCTCCCTTGGGGATAAATTCAAGGTAAAGGGTGCTATATAGATATCCTTAGGGCAGCTGGCAAGCATTACCACCCAAGGTCTGCTTTCTTTGGTATAGTCTAGGAGACGTTGCAAGTCTAGCAGAAGTTCTATACTCTATATGGGGTGTTGAGAATTGGAGTCCTGGTGGTACAGCGAGAAGTCCAGAGAAGCAGCCAGAGCTAACATGAATGGTTCCCAAAGCCTAAGTCTGCCCAAATGTCCTCAGGATGGAAACCAATGCTCTCAGATCTAGTTGCCTAATAGAGGCCTGACTGAACAACAAGGCCACAAAGTGAGGGGATTTAGAGACTAGAGACAAATAGCAGAGGCCACAGACTTCAGAAATAGGTGCCAGCACAATGTCTCATTAGAGCGAGATGGAACAAAATGCATCTGATGTCTGTTCAGGGACCCATGGACCACAGTGAATAGCCACCACCCCAAACTAGGATACAGTAGACAGCACCTGACCTGCCACCTCACATGCAGACAAAGGACAGTACAGAAACTGAGCACATGGATCCAGGAGCCCTTCATGTCCTCACTGCCAAGAGTTCAAGTAAGCCCCTCAATAGGCGACGTCCCACACAGAAGCATTGGATATGAGATTGGGCATGTATGGGAAACACAACAAGTTATCAAGTAAGACTATTAAACAAAAGACATTATTGACCTTGTTGATTTGCAAGTTTTCAAGTGGCCAATCTCTGTGCCAGTTCCCGGGAAGGAGGGCATAGTAAGAAAGACTAGAGGGCTTGTTGAAAACAAGGTACAGTTTTTGGTAACTATGAGTAAAGATATTAAGCTGCAACACATTTGTACCATAAAGGAAACTACTACACCTCAATACCTGCCTTCTTCTAAAAAGGATCTGAGGCAACAACAATCTATGATTGGAAAATAAGCACATAAGATTTAAAGATACACTAAATCTTAGTTATTAGATATTATTAGATATTAGACATTAGGGTGATTTTAAAATATAACTAATACAACCCTGGTTGTGGACTTCATTTTTTAACATCTTATAAATATTGAAAGCTACCAAGTCTCTGAGATGTTCTGGTGCACATACGTAGAAGTGAAGCTGTGAATGTGCTAGTTCTCTACAACCCCTTGCTGTGTCTCCTCTGTGCATTTACACACTCTCCCTTGGGGAAGAAGTACAGGCCTCTCTGAGTTTTCACAGAACCTGCCACAATCTTTCAGTTTAGAGCATGGTTCTGAGAGCTGCCAGCCCCTGGCTGTGCCCTCCCCAGAATGATAGGACCATTGTTTCCAGGGGTGTAGGGTTCTGTGTCTACACAAGTAGACCTCACAGATTTGGCAGAAAGTATGCTGATGGGGAGACCCAAAACTACCCACGTGCAAGCCCAGACTTGAATTCTTTACTTCAACTCCAGCGGTACAGGCCCAGATACATAACACTGGGAGTGAGACATGAACACATGGCCATATGGAGGGAGTGAAGTGCCTTACATCAGACACTGGAGCACAGATTTGGCAGAGCTGATGCAGATCCTGCTGACTGGGGCTGGGCTGAGTCCCAGGGCTCTGCCTGACACCCCAACTTTCTTTGCGAAACATTCACAGCTGTGCTTGAGTTCACCTTGCACACTCCTGCCTGCACAACAACTTTCTAAAACACAACACCTTTTCCTCATTCTCACTCAGGGGACTGGCCCATTGTAAAATAGAAAAAAAAAAAATCATTGAGGAATAATCTATCCCAAGAGCAAAGATTGAAAATTAGGGAAAATGACTTAATACTATCCAGAAAACGTTAATTAGTTCTCTCTTTTCATAGATCCTGTAAGATGATCCACATGTCACCCAAGTGTTGACCATTTGCCAGAATGTTCTGGGGAGTCATAATTTGGGGACCATAAAATTTCATTGGCATGACCTGGTACTGTTAGTGATCAAGATCTTTGGCTGACAGAATCTGCCCTGGTCACTTAGTAATTAGTCTAATTGATTTACTGGAGTAATTAATAATCTAACACATCTAATTAGCAACCACTCACCTGTCTGAGCCACAGGTAAATGCCAGCTTAGTTTCAGTGGTCCTCCTCATTATACCCTAAAAATAGATTGAGAAACATAGCATGGAATACCTAATACAAGCGGGAAGGCCTAGCAGCAGTAAGGGGGAGTGGTGTATCACAGATTTGCCAGTGATTGTTGGATAAGAGCAGCAGGAAGACCAACTTACAGTTGGTTGTGTGGTAAGAGAGGTAAGTATTATTAGAAACTACAAACAGAAATCTGATCCTATTTTACAATGGCAGCATATGCATCCAGGCTTAAGTGTTCTGCAGACCAAAGTAAAAATTGTCATTAGCCTTACCACGCTCATTTTTCTTAGGGACTTTTTGATAACTTGGACAAAGTTGCAGTTTTCTTTCCTTCCCATTCTCTAAACTTTGCTGGCTGGTCAAGATGAACACAGGGAGCCATGGAATTTGAGTTTTTCCAGAGGGACTATCATCAGCAAGAGTGTTGTCTAATATGGAAACCCGGTTAAGACACAGGAATTTGGTGATTTACTTTCACATACAGTACAGTCCCAGTTCTAACAAGTTCATGCACGTTGTGAAGTGCCTTGTATCTGCTGCTGTTTGGACACTTACAAACATTTTAGCCTCTGATTGACTTGAAAACCATTAGACTTACATTCCTGAATCCCTTCCCAGGAGAGAACTTCCAATGATTTGTATGAAGGCTGAGGTCAAAATAGGGACAGGTTGAAGTTCCTCTAAAATCTTCTAGGTTTGCCCTCCCAAAAGTGTAAAGTGAGAATTCATTAGTTTTTTTTAACAGACACGCTGTTTTCTAAAAATATTAAGCTTTATTTTGTTCTTGTACTTAGACTGACTTCCCACAGCTGGTTCATTGACTTTTACTGACAACCTAGGGGTAAGTTAAATGAAGAAGCTTTGGGAAACAGATTTTGTTTAATTATAGACCTTCTGTGTGAATTTGAATGGGCAAAGTTCAGAAGAAGGGGCATTCTGAGGTCTTGACTTCAGATGTTTTCCTCACTTGTGATTAAAGAATGAAAACAAATTGGTGAAGGGTAGGATGAAGTGGGAAAGTGAAATGTTTGGGAACTAAAAGTTCTCACTTGTACTGGACTCATTTTTGAGGTAACCTGGTGGAGTTGTTATGGAAACCGGCAAAGGTCTTGCATCCATTTACAGCTGTCTCAAAGTAAACAAGTCTGTGTGTCACCCCAGCCCCATGTGGAGACCAGGCCCAGATATAAAAGTAAGGTACACTGGTCAACAGTTAACAAACTACCAACCCAGTTAAAAAGACAGGACACTGTACCTTCAGAAGGAGCCTAAATTTTCTTGGAGAAATGTTGCTCTGAGATTTGGGCTGTCATATCAAAGGCCATATCAGGGATATTTTTGGACTAAGAAGGTAGTATAGAATACTAAGAGAAAAGTTTAATCAGAAATTTCAGAAGAAAACATGTGTTAAGGAACAGTGTCATTCTAAGTTAGAGCTGAACTACTAAGATTAGATCTCTAGAGTTATAATTTAATAGCAAATCACAGTAATTTTTTCCTGATATAAATTTAAGAGTGACTATCAACAGTATAAAGTATGGCCTCAATTTTACCTGCTTCCAATAAACCCATGAGATCTGACAGGAATACACATGCTGGGTGAGTAATTTTGATTTTATATTTGTTTTGATCAGATGTTCTTTGGATTCTATATTCCATGTTTACTTGATAGACCTCTACAGTTATATAAATTTCTTAAGCTTAGAGATGATATAGTTGGACTACATCTCATAATAAAACAAAATAAAAACAAAGCAAATTTCCTTCCCAGTAATATTTTTGTTTCTTAGCTCTTGGGGAAATTTGGTTGATTTAAGAAAGAGAGCAATATGTCAACTATATCTCAATTAAGAAGAAAAAAAATGAGGGTAAATTAAGTCACAAAACCTGTAAACATTTAACAAAGCTGCATGAGTGAACAAATTGAAAGTTCAGCCTGGAATTCAACATTTAATTCCAATACTAGAAACTGTATCTGAGATAATTAAAGGGGCCTCCCAGGGCCTAAGGGAGATTTACTGTGTTGCAGGATATTATGAAGAGGTTTCATGTGCTCTGTGATGGACTTTATGTAGAATTCACTTCTAAAATAGGACTTAAGTTATTCATCTCAGGGGTAGATATAAATCTGCCAGAGCTGTCTGCAAATTTAGCTCCAATTCTTGCCCCAGGTTCACAAAACATAACGGAGCATAAATCTTCATGAGGCTTAAGGAATTTTTGTGAGTTCCCTCTGGTTTGCTGAGAGTTGTAGGAGATGTCTTGCTTAGAGTTTCCATCACATCAGTGTTTTAGAAAATGCTTCACTCACCCTTCCCAAAAAGAAGTAGCCTCCTACCATGTTCATTTCTTCAGGGAAGCCAAGGAGGGAGAGAAAAGGAAAAATTGTGAAGATGAAGGTAAGCATTAAGACTTCTCTTTGGTTACCAATATTTAATACTGATCATGCTAGATAATTTGTCCTGGTTTGCTGAAAGAGTTTGTTCCCAATTCTCTGGTCCATGTTTTAGAAAAAAAGATAGAAATTAGTTGAGGAAATGGTACATGCAAATCTACTAAATTAAAATTATGGATTTTGCAAAGATTGATATACTCTGAGAGTCAGATTCATATAGGGTTGAACTTGGGTAATAGCCCAGGCTAGTTTTTCCTTTAGTCATTGATAGAGTGTTCATCTTAAAAGTGCTTCTTGATGGGCCCAAAGGGATTGAAAAATTCTTCCACAGACATACCCTAAACTTTCCAACCATGGGATCATTAGAATTTGGGAAAGACATCAAGGAAAACTAAGAAATACTGCCTAGTTAATTCATAAGGGTATTATAATTAATAAAAGAGAATGCAATTAATGGCAATGCTGGTGTGAGAATTTCTTCTTGAAAATTGAAAAAGTGGAGGAGATCAATGATTCTAAAATTACCAAGGACCGTAGCTCCATTACTAATTGAACCAGAATTTCTAGGAGTGGGAGTAGGTATCAGTACTTTTTATTTTTTTAAAGATTTATTTATTTATGCATACAGAACTGGGGTACAGGCCAGATGTGCAGGGACAGTGAGAGGACTTACCAGAGACAGAGTGGGGAGCAGAACAGGCCGACTGATGATGAAGTACACTACTGAGGGGAGCAGCAGGCAGGTCAGGAGAGGTCTGCCCTGCCATGTGGATCACCTCCTGGGTGGGGATCAAACTCAGGCTGAAGTGGCTTTAGCTTCTTAGTTCTGTGCTTTAACACACTACGCCACCAGGGAGGGCCTAGATATCAGTACTTTTTAAAGCATCTCAGATTATTCTAATAGGCAGTTAGGGTTTAGAGTCATTGGAATAAATGAATGAGGCTCTTTTGTAGTATAATTATTCATAGATTCAGTAAGGAATCCAAAGGAAAATCTCCAAATAGTGAAAGCAGTTTGGCAGAGTCAAACAGAAAGTGTTATAGAAGTTGGAAGAGGATGTGGATGGCAGTTTCTTAAACGTTAATGTGCATGGGACTAACAGAGTTGGTTAAAATGCAGATTTTGATTCAGTAGATCTAGAATGGGGCCTGAGAACCTGCATTCACTACCAGTCACCCAGGTACTGTTGCTGGTTTATTGACTGCACTTCTGCCTCTCACCAAGAGAAGAAAGTATATGTCCTTTTGCCTTCAGGCTTTCTCTGAAACACTAAAGTATATTAACATCATGGAATGTTTTATATTTGAAACAAACTATGATCCACCAATGAACCTGTTACCCTAATGCTTTTGAGAAGAAAATTAGTATATAGTATATAGTTCTACCTCCTGAACAGTTAAATTTAATTCAACAAGTAAACTTTGTTAAGACTTAGGGATTTAAAAAAAAAAGATATAGCGACAGCTTGCATGAGGGAATTCACAATCTTTCTGGGAAGAGAGAAAATGAACTTGTGAAATGCTATCTCTCATTTGTTAGTGTGAAGTAAATGCTTCAGGACTTCAGTTGGGTTGGGGGAAGATGCTTGGAAAAGCCTTGATGGAGAAGATGATATTTTAATTTCAACTTGAGGAATGATAGGAAGATGATACATAAAAAATGAAGGGGTAGAAATAGGCCTTAAACAGAGTTCTCTATTTTGCTTACACAACAGATCCTCTGGGAAGACTTAAAAAAATGCTTTCAGAATTTATATTAACTAAGACCTTAGCACAAGTGCTCTTTGAAAAACTCCCTGGTGATTTTGATGCACAGTCAAGTTAAGGATCATTGGAGATACATGAAAATGCAGAATTTTTTGAAGATGTTTTGAAGAATTTGGAGGGAAATGAAAAGAATGTAGAACAAAGAAGTCCCTGATCTTGGCAAAGATGGCTCCACTCACTGTGGTGTGGAGCAGATTACTTTTACCTCTAATAATTTAAAATAGTACATAATTATAAATAAAACAGCAATGGCTGTTTAACATCATTGATTTCTTGTTAAACAAGTTGATGGGCTAAAGATAGGTAGGGAGAATATTTACCTCCACATAGTCATTCAGAGATCCAGAGCCTTCTACCAGTGGCTTCTATTAACTTTACCACCTCCTATATTTGGCAGAAGATGGGTTGGGGAGGTGAAAGAAAGAGAGGGAATATCAGAATGAGATATGAGTGAGACTGGAAATAAATGTGCCACTTATGTTTACATTCCATTTGCCAGAACTCTGTCTCATGGACTTATCTTGCTGCAGGGGAAGCTATGAATATCGTTAGCAATGTGCTCAGGAGGAAGAGACATTGGCTTTGATGAACACATGGCATTCTTTCCCACCCCTTACTTTTCCTTGCTAGTCTCATCAAACCGGTACCTTTCAGGTTCTCCATCTTAGGAGGTATAACAACAGTCATTCTACGTTCACTGCTCAGGAGCTGTCTACACACAAACCTTATGCAGGCCACAAGCAAATCTTGCAAAGTAGTTATTATTTTCACTATTTCCTTTTACAGATGAGGAAACTAAAGAACAAAGATAACCTCATTTGCCCACATTTATACAATTAATATTTTGTTGAACTGGTAATGAAACATGGGCAACTTGACTCCAGACTAGTAAATTATGTGACATAATATCCCATGCAAAGAAGAAAATGAAAATTTGAGCTAGACAGAACCAGATAGAAATGACTGTTATGTAACTTCTAGTATAATCTTTCACAAGCTTCTTAACTTCTTTAAGCACTAGTTTCATTAATAAATTAGATTTATTACTTGCCTAATAGAACGATGGTTTAGGATTAGTGACATAATGTATTTATCAGGTCTATGTCCAATTTCCAGTAAATATGTGACATTATTATACCATATTGTTTGTTGACAAATTATTTAATACTAAATGAAGGTTTGGACCAATGTTTGTGCTGGCAGTAATCATAGATATTAATTGATATTCACTCTCTTTTGTGTGTTTTCTCTCTAAATTCCTCTACATCTTATTTCATTTCTCCCCCCAGAAACAGGTTTGTTTATGTTAAAAATCCTTACCTGGATTCTATGGATGAAGATATCCTCTACCATTTGGATTTAGGAACAAAAACTCATAATCTACCAGCAATGTTTGGGGATGTAAAGGTAAAACTAATTTCTAACTTCAAGAAAAACAATTATATTTCTTCTGCTTACATTTCTTCTGATTTTCTCAACATAAACTTTACATCATATGCATCAGCAGTCTTAGCAGGAGTTGCAGCAACTCTCATCCTCAGAGATAGTTTGTACATCCCAAACAATCACTTCTACCTACATAGGACCCTAACTAAATCAACACAAACGCTATATTTGCCTGCTTTGGTCCCTGGATGTAAATACCACTTTATAATATTGCTAGGTATTCAGAGTTTATGATTCAGCTCATTGGTATTAATCAACAATAACTCACAAAATGAATAATGCTATATGGTTCCATTGCCTGAAATTAACTATGAGCTAACATTTCATATTAAGATTTTTGTTATTTCATAGGAAATATTTCATGAGAAATAGTTCATAAAACCAGATAATTGTACTTCTGCTTTATTTATTTGTTATTTTAAACTATAATTTTGGGGTTATAGTTTTTTACTCCTCCATATGTGAACATATTCTGCTCACCCTCCACCAACACCCCATACCAAGGCCTCTTCCTCTTTCTCCATTCCCTCCTCTCCGCACCCCCATGTCCCCTCTCATAATCAGGAAGTTTTTTCACTAAGTCCAAGATTTGTTTGTGCTGTATTTGGCTATTATTTGTCACTTGGTCATTACTAGTTCATAGATAAGTGAAACCATCCAACTTTCTAACTTGTTTCACTTAGCATGATTGCCTCACAATCTATCCATTTTGTCATAAAAGGCTTTATTTCATCTTTTTAAATAGATATATATTCCATTGAGTATATATTCTGCAATTTCTTTTTAAAATATTTTATTTATTTTTGTGCAGAAGAGCTGGGGTGTAGGCCAGAGGTACAGAGAGAGGGCAGAAGTGAGAGGATTTACCAGAGACAAAGTGGGGAGCAGAACAGGCAGATTGACTGAAATACTGAGGGAGGAGCAGTGAGACAGGAGAGGTCTGCTATGCTATATGTGGGTTAACTCCCTGGCTAGGTATTGAACCCAGGTAATAGTAGTTGATAGCTCCAAGACTAAACCCCTAGGTAACTAGGGAAGCCCCTATTCTGCAATTTCTTTATCCATTAATTTTATGAACACTTATGTTTACAAGACTTGGCAATTATGAACAGTGATGCTATGAACACAGAAATATGTCTTTTTGTGAAGTTTTCATATTTTTTTTGTAAATACTTAAATGAGGTATTGCTGGATCACATGGAATTTCTTTAAAAATCTCCATACCAGGGCCCTCTCTGGTGGCCCTGGGTTAGGACACAGCACTGCAGGCTAGCCATAGCTGCACTTCCAGGGGATGTGGATCCCCAGCCCTGGAGGTGACCCACATGGCGTGGCAGACCTCTTCTGACCTGCCCACTGCTCCCCTCAGCAGTATACTTTGTAGATCTGCCTGTTCAACTCCCCACTCTGTCTCTGGTGAATCACCGCCCCTGCACTTCTGGCTTGTACCCCAGTTCTGTATGCATAAATAAACAAATCTTAAAAAAAAAAAAGAAATTTCCATACCAGATGCAAATTAAAACCACAATGAGATACCACCTCACACCAGTGAGAATGACACATCTCAAAACAACTAGCAACAACAAATGTTGGTGATGGAGAAAAAGGAACTCTCCTGCACTGCTGGTTGGAATGCAAACAATCACTATGGAAAACTGTTTGGAGGTTTCTCAAACTGCTAAAAATGGAGCTTCCATCTGACCCAGCAATCCCACTCCTAGGTATTTACCGAAAAAGACATGAAAACACTGATTCAAAAAGCAAATAAACACTGTTTATTGCTGTTTTATTTATAATTGGAAAGACATGAAAACAACCCAAATGCCCAAAGTAGATGACTGGATTAAAAAGATGTGGTACAAGGCTCTCCCTGGTGGCACAATGGGTTAAAGCACTGCATTATGAAGCTCTGTGAAGAAGTCACCGCAGCATGAGTTCAATCCCCTGCCAGGGGGCTGACCCACATGTCATGGCAGACCTCTTCTGACCTGCTCGCTGCTCCCCTCAGCAGTATATTTCAGTAGATCTGCCTGTTCTACTCCCCACTCTGTCTCTGACGAATCTTCTCACCCACCACACCTGTGGCCTGTTCCCCAGTTCTGTAAGCATAAACAAATAAATCTTTAAGAAAAAAGAGGTGGTACATATACACAATGGAATATTACTCAGCAATCAAAAAAATAAACACATGCCTTTTGCAGCAACATGGATGGAGCTGGAAAACATCATGCTTAGTGAAATAAGCCAAAAAGAAAAGTAAAAATACAAGATGGTTTCACTCACAACAGGAATATGAAAGGCCAGGGGAGAAAATAATAATAATATGACAATGATATACCAGAGACATTTTATGGGGATGGAATGGGAAATGGGATCAAAAACGGTGGGGGGAGGGAAGTGCACTGGACTATAGTGATGACACTTGGGTGATTTGGTGATGGGAAGCCCAAGGGGATTACAACTGAGATGGGAAAATGCACAAAATGATGTAAAAATAAACTATTATAAAAAAATGAAAAAAAAAAGAATCTAGACTAAAACAGAATGAACTAGTTTTATGAATATGTATATTGTGTTACATTAAGTTTTACTTCATGTATATTGTGTTACTGTTTGTCTGCAATAAAAACATCAAGCCTTGTTAGACTTAAAAAAAAAAAAAAAGAAAAAGAAAGCTCCATACCATTTTTTCCTACTCACTTCCTACCAACTTGCATTCCCACCAACGATGAATGAGTTCCTTTTTCTGGACATCTTACCAACATTTGTTTTTTCCCATTTTTTTTTGATATAGGCTAGTCTCACAGTAGTGAGGTGGTATCTTATTGTGGTTTTGATTTTTCTTTTCTTACTCATTGCACTAGCTGGAGACTTTGAATCATGGTAATTCAGAATAGTCCAAAAATTGGGAGGGGAGTTGAAGAAAAAGGAGATTACTGAGGAGGGGGGAGCAGGAGATGAAAAGGAAGAGAAAAGGTAGGAGACAGAGGGAGAGAAAGGGAAGGAAGGAAAGAAGGGAGAGAGGGAGGGTGAGTAAGAGAGAGGAAAGAAGGGTAGGGCCAAGGAAGGAGTGACAGAAGGAAAAAGAAAAGGAAGGGGAAAGAAGAGACAAAATAAATCTTTGATGTTCATTAACAGGAAGTGCCAAATTGCTTCCTCCTTTTGCCATCTTCCTTAGAGTACAACACGTGATGGTGTAGGATGGTTTCCTGGCAACATTCAAATATGTTTTCATAAAATCACTAACCGGTGCATTTCAATCTTTCCCTAAAAGCTGCAAGTAATATGGAAAAACATTACCTTATAAGATTCTGTAATATGTGTTTTAAAAGTGTTTATATTCCTTTGTCAACATATAAAACACATAAACTGCCAGGACCAGATTAACACAACATAGCAAAGTTAAGTCTTTTAAGATGCTTGGCATATTTGGAAGTGAGTGCCTACTGACAGACATTAGTCAATGTCCTTAACATATTTTTTGCAATGTTTCTCTTGCCAGCATATTTCTGTCTTCTTTGATAAAACAAGGATAAATGATAATTTTGTTTGGGTTATGAATCACAGTTAAATTCATTAAGGTCAATGCTACTTGGTGGTCTTCAGTTATATTTTACTTCTCATTAAAGCAGGCAGACTGAAAATTGTGTCTAGAAAGTGCTATTTAGTAAGTCTGATTTAGAAGTAAATCTTCAAGAATTAAAATGCTTCTGCCTATACATATCATTTTTATGTCTCCAGAAACATTCAGAAATTCCTGTTGATTACAGCAATATCTATAGTTCAAAGAAGAACTCAAACCACAAGCTATTCTAACATCTGTTTTGGTTTTATGGTCAATCTGAATCATTGCAATTTACATTCACTGGCAGCGTACAGTGAAGTTATTTTCAAACTACTGTATTTTGTAAAAACAAAACAAAAATGACCTCCTTTACTTAGATCTTGAGCCAAGTCTTAATGTGCCATACTAACAGAGGGAAAATTTTCATGATCAATAATAATTTAAAAATGTAGCTTGGACCATCATGGTCTTATTCTGTTTGCCATTTGGGTTTTATGGCTAACTTCCATTGCAGTTCATAACCAATTGTACTTCCTATCAGAGAAACTCATAAGAAGGCACAGAAAGGATAATAATGAGGGTGGAAGAAAAGCAGAGGGCCTTGATAAAAGGATAATTACATCCACAATTGAGATGAGTGTACCTCTGATAAATGTATACTAAATGGAGACAGGATGTATCATGTAATCAGACCACTTCATGGCCATGGAAAATCATCTTTGTATCAGATGCCTATTTTACAACCTCCGTTAGGTATTGCCTCAGACAGAAAATCCTTATCCCCATGAGGGAATCCCAGCTCTCCTGCCCATGAAAAGCACCATCAATTGCCTTTTCCTTTCTGGACTTGAACAATTTTCATTTGCATTAAATCCTACAACACATAAACAATAAACACGCTCAAAAGTAGTGATGAGGTTAGGGTGCAAAGTCAGGTTTACCTAAATCAAAGGGCAGGTCTGTAGCTACTAAGTTGCCTTATCTTTGTACTGGAGCTCCTTCAGACTCTTGCACCTCACCACTGCTCTTTAGCTTAGCCTAGGTTCTGAACGGCTTTGTGTTTCAGACCCTTCAATGGCCTGTGTATGTCTCTGATATCCATTGCTGAGCATCCTCCCCACCGCTTTTTGACCTTTGGTGCTCAACCAGTGGCTGTTGTTCATCCAAATGCTAGTAGACTGCTCCCATGTTCACTCTGGCACCCACGTCTCCCACCTTGGAGGAGGATACACCCTAATACAGCTATTGCTCCTGCAACTACCAGTTTCATGACCATATTTTCTTAGATTGGATACCGTTGATTACAACTTTTTGTCATTTCAGACATAGTGAAATAATATGAATAAAGCCAAACTAATTTCCATTCGTCTATCCCCTACCCAGCTTTGGGAATGTTGAGCTTTTGGAACACGGGGTCTAATTTTCAAGATTGCCAAAGCAGTGCCATTGGAATTGATGAAACTCCAGAGTTAGGTTTCCATGCTTAGTGATAAGGCTAATTCATCAAGAATTTCTTCTGAATGTAAAGTTGGAAAGGCTTGATGATGATTTCTTTAACACAAGTTAAAATAGCATATTTTTCAATGAAAACTTAGGTTGGAGAAGTAGAATCAGAAAATATATTTAAAGTTCATATGTCTAAAGTTTGTTGCCTCCTTTTTAAAATTATGTGTATATTTCTTGTCCTTGGACTTTACATAGTAAGTATTTAAAGCCTGCCAATGCCCAAATATAGACTTTCTATATCACTACAAGGTTCTAGTTGATGCTCACTCTAAATAAAGACACCCGGAAACCAGCTCGAATAAAATCAACACTTTCTTTACTAATTAAGTACATCAAACTTCATATCTGGTTGCCTTATTTACAAGTTAATGAAGCAAATTACTTAATTCTGAACATAACCCATAACATCTACACATAAGCTTAAGTAAATTAATGAGCAACAAGATAAAACCATTAGAGTTGAAAGCTGACCCTTGGTTGTTATCCAGTTACAATGGCAGCTAATTGTTTATTTTTATTAATAGTTCGTGTGTGTTGGTGGCAGCCCCAACAGAATGAAAGCATTTGCACAGTTTATGCACGAGGAGCTTGGACTGGAGGGAAGTGGAGAGGACATAAGGGACATCTGTGCTGGAACAGACAGATATTTTATGTACAAAACTGGCCCAGTGCTTTCCATCAGTGTAAGTATTCAATGTTGCACTTTAGGTAGTCCTCACTGGCTCAAGTTAAAAGTAGAAATTTCTGAATATAAGTTCTTTATCCCCTAACTTTGCATTCTTACACAAGTAAATTGTGTCCAGATGAGACTTTCATTATGGGTAAATGGGGGCAGGTCATGGCATTGGGTATTACTTTAGCTATTAGTTACCACTTAGCTATTCAGGTTAGGGAAAAACCTTCAGAGCATACCTCCTCTCTCTCTAGTTTATAACTGATTAAGCCTCAGGTAATTTCCTTTCTTATCCCCTACCCAGCTTTGGGAATGTTGAGCTTTTGGAACACGGGGTCTAATTTTCAAGATTGCCAAAGCAGTGCCATTTAACACTAGAATAATCTCACTGAAAAGCTGCTAATGCACTTCCATGGAGCTCTTGTGAATGGCTCCCCTGTATTTAGAATATCTTAATAGCTCTGGACACACAACGTCCTAAGAAAAATGAAAGTAGAATGACTTACAATTTTTTTTTAAAGATTTATTTGTGCATACAGAATTGGGGTACAGGCCAGAGGCTCAGGGGTGGTGAGAGGCTTCACCAGAGACAGAGTGGGGAGCAGAACAGGCATATAGACTAAGTACACTGCTGAGGGGAGCAGCTGGTGGGTCAGGAGAAGCTTGCCGTGCCATGTGGTCACCTCTGGGGCAGGAGAGAATCGAACTCATGCGGAAGTGGCTTTAGCTTCTCAGTGCTGTGCTTTAACCCACTGCGCCACCAGGGAGGGCCCAGAATGACTTACAATTTTAGGGAGCACATTATCTATTCCCCTCTTGGACTTAGGTTGGCATACAGTTCTGAGATTGTATATGAGTGTACACACAATTTGCCTTGCTAACGCAGCTATATCTGAAACCACCACTCTGAGCATCGATTGGATGCTGCAGCTCTTATGAGGGGCACCAACACGCATGTCAGGGGGCAGGGGGAAAAATCTAGTGGAAAGCTGTAGCAATTTTGAGGTGGAGTTACAAATGGCTCCTGCATCACAAACAGCCACTGTCCATTGCTGACTCAATAATACTTGGAGATGGAAGGATGGAAGATCATGACTACAGGCTGATCAAGAAAGGTCAATAATGTGATGCCAAGGGGGCAATTAAGTTGATTACCCCTTTGCGGCAATACTGTCTGAAATCTGCTTTCAAATGAGAGAATCCATTATTTACTCATTTAACAAACAATGATAGATTGTCTGTCATGGTAGATAATATCATGGCAAATTATGTCTTAGTGACTTCTGCTTGACTTTTAGAGTGCAACACTTTGTCCTTTTTTTTTTTCCCCTACAGGAAATGGTTAAGAACAAAAGTAAGAGTCAGAAAGTTGTGGAAATATCATAAACAAGCAGTAAAATTTCAAAAATGTCAAAAAAAAAAAAAAAGCAGCAGTAGACTGACCTGCTATCCTATTAGGAAAAATGAGCTGCAGTACGTATCAGACTCAGAGGTCAGCCAATTAGATAAGGGCCACACCAGGCAACTGGGGCCCCTTCTTTGAAAATTCTCCTCTTCAGTAGCTGCTAAGATGTGTGTTATGTGTGTGTGACACACAGAGAGAGAGGCTTCAGCACAAACACAAAGCCCATTTATCATTTTCTCTCCAAGTTCTGTAAGTGATAATCATAAACCTATCAAACATCTGATTTAGAAGAAACTTAATAGATCAAATAATATTTTATCCCCTTAATTTACAGTGGAGGGAAATGAGATTTAGAGTTTACTCATTAGTAGCAGAGGCAGTGCCAATGCCCACAGACTTAATCTTGGACATACACATTAATATAGGTCTGATTGATGGTTCCAGGAGACTAACAACATACTTGGAAGTCAGGACATGTTCAGTGGGATCTAGAAATGGGGAACTCAAAAATTAAACATTCTGTAGTTTAATATTCTTGGTGTTGAGAGAGAGAGGACTCAGGTGAAAATAACAGACTCATGGCTACCCCAGTCTCCCAGGTTTGCTAATGAGAGGGTTGATTGCTAACATCAACTGCCAGCCAAGATGATCCAGTGCTTTTCACAAGTTTTTGTGCCTGAAAGTGGAGTACACTGAAGAAAACATTCGACTCTCTTATAAAATGTTAGGAATTAAATAGCCACTGATTCCAAACTTGACTTTAGCTACTACGAATTCCAGGAGGGAGGAACTTTCTGGAGAGTTCCAGAAAGTCAGTAAATCTTCTAACCAATATTGACCCCTGTTCTAATGACGTTGACTCTACTATTCCAAATGCTGAGAAAAACCGGGCTTATGGTTATGATCTGCAGCAACTTAACCTCACCTGCAGCTTCAGCATAGACTACGGAATGTTAGCAGTGGATGTAACCCATATCCTACCCTCCTACCTTTCAGAACGCACAAAGAATTGGCAGCAATGATTATGCTCACATGAGCATAATGAAACAGATTTCACTATTTCATTTAGCATGGTGGAAAAAGGACAACAGAATCCACATTTCCTGAAAGTCAAGTTAATCTACAAAAGGCTTTCCAAGTGTTTACCATAAATACCCTGGTAGGGAGAGGAGAAATGGCACTGTCCTGACAGTCCTGACTGACCTGTGTGCCATACAGTACCCACATTCTACTCTTGACAAGGAGGGCTGAGCTCAGTTTCACTGGCATCTCCCTGATCCTCACAGATGGACACATCTATCAGCATGTCATGTCGACATCAGCTGGAACTGACTTAGGTTTTCCTCAGTTTGGCAAAGTCATAATGATTATGTAAATTTATCTGAAGGCTGTTAACTTGTAATGAAGGAAGAAAATATGTCCCCTGCGCATCTCAGTCTGTGCAGTGTATAATGATTCTCTCTTCTCTCGACAGCATGGTATGGGCATCCCCTCCATTTCCATTATGCTTCATGAACTCATCAAATTACTGCACCATGCCCGGTGCTCTGATGTTACCATCATCAGAATTGGTACATCAGGGGGATTAGGTAAGATGGATTGATTTCTGCTATACAAACCTAGTGTTGTTCCATGCAGAGTAGTTGCCAAAATGTACCAAACTACTAAGAGCCCAGAAAAAAACCCAGATTTCAGGTAAACCCATGTATAAAAATATGTCAGGAGTCTGGACTTGAAGAAATATATTCATATTTCCTTTTTCAGCTCTTCTTCGTCCATGGAGACCCCACTACCTCTTGCCCATATGGACTAGGTGATCTCGAGGGGAAGAGTAGAGAACTACTAGACAATATTTTTTGATGACAAGAATAAGTTTTGGTGATGATGAGTAAATTTTAAGATTTAAGAATTTTAAAAGTGACAGAAATACATTCTTTCAAGTAAAAAATAATCACTAAGATTTGCCTTGTTTGTTAGCAAACAATGTGGACTTCAGACTTCCTAGGCAAACATTGCTTTCAGCTCAATGACTACATCCCTTTCTCGACCTGGTCTTTTTCTTACCAAAAGACCAGAAAAGGTCAGTCTGGGCTTTTAGGAAAGGGGCAGGTGATACTTCCTAAAATTTTGCTAGTCTTCTCCTGCCTGCTTCCTTTTCTGGTCAGGCAGCTGGTCAGGAACCTTGCTTGTGTGTTCATATTGGGCTGAGGTAAAGTTCTGAGGAAACCTTCTTTAGCCTTTCTGTAGGAAGAGATCTTGCCAGTGGGGTGAATTTACCATGCCGCTAAATGTAAATGCACACAGACAAGGCAATGTAACTGGGAAAGTTTGGTTGACAGAGTGACAGAACTGAATGTGAATTATAAAAAAGAGCTGAGATTTGGGAATCTTGGGTGTCTACTTATTTGGGGCAAATCCTCAAAGAACTAGAGAGATGACTTATCCAATATCACAGAGCCACAGATGATTGAATCATGCTTGTTTAGAAACAGATGTGCTTAAAAAGATTATATCCTTTTCACAGCTGTGGTACAGAAATAAGTTCCAGCCATGGCCCTCACAGATGGAATAGAGGACAACTGTGGATGTCCAGCCAAAAAAAAGAATGTTAACAATCAGTGTTAAACCAGGCATCCTCCTGGACTGTAGCTTAGCTAATGTTACCACAAATAATCAATTGTAGGAAACAATGTATTTGGGGATGAAGTGCATAATACTATTATTAAAGTTGCTCATAATTCTTGGATTGTGAAATATAAGGATCTGTCTCCACAGCCCATGCAATAAACCATGGAGACTATTAATTGCTATTAACATGTGTCAATTAAGTATGGGGGATTCTGTTGACCATCTTGCTTGTGGTCTTCTGTTCTAGCTCTTTTGTTTCATGGCTTTGTGATACATGTGCCCAGAAGTGGTACCAGCATCATAGTAAATAGCTAAATGGAGACAAGTTAAAGCACTAGGCTGGTGTGGATACCTTCATTTTGAAGTTTTGTCCTCATTTTTAAGAACTCTGTTTCATAATAATATGTATTTTTTTCTTAATTAAAGCATTATTGCCTGTGAGGTGAAGGAAGTGTCATTTAGTCTTTTGCTGACATTACCACTCTTTACATGATTCAACAAAATTTAATGATGGTAAAAAGTACTTGATTAAATAGAATTTTCTCCTTTGAGAAACATTTACTATGACACAAATGTTCTAACTCTTCTTAATATAAGGATGGTATGTCATTTTTAATAAACACACTTTCAGTTTTCTTCCTCCTCAGTTTTTTATTCTTAGGACAATGTTATTAAAAAACTCACTCATTTGGCTTTCTTAAAATGTATTTGATCCACCAAGATTCTATCACAAGAGCCTAACTTGAACCTTGTAAAGTTTTCTGGAGTTAATCCTATTTTGATCAATGTTGGAATTTATAAAGACTCAAAAGGATATGGTTCTATGGTGTCAGTACATAAACTTTTTCTATAAACTGCCAGATAGTAAATATTTTAGACTTTGCAGAGCATATGGTTTCTGTTGCAACGTCTCAAGTCTGCCATTGTGGCATGTAGAAAATCTGTAAATGAATGGGTGTGGCTGTGTTCCAATAAAACATTATTTACAAAGAAAAGAACAATTTGGCCCAATGATTATACTTTACAGCTAGCTGCACCACAGCATCTCTCTGGAAATATTCCCTCATTCAACAAATGTTTGAATACTTCTAATGGAATAGGCAAAATGCTAGATCTGGAGAGACAGCTGTGAACAGACATTGTTCTTGTCTTTATAGAGCTCAAGTTTTATCAGAGAAACAGATAAGCAAGTGAGGACTTAGCAAAAGTGTGATGAAAGTTAACATAGGGAGAGTCTAGAGCATTATTGAAGTATGTCACTTTATCCAAGCTCTGAAAAGAAATCAGAATGGTTCAAAAACTAGGTCAAAGCTGGACCTGGGGAAATTTAATGTTATCTCTCTCTCTCTCTTTCTTTTTTTTAAATTCTAACCTCCCTCCCCTAACAATGGATCCACTCCTTTTGAAGGAAATGTCTAAAGTGGACACCTTAAGAATGAGTTGAAATTAGTCTGATGAAAGATAGGGTATGGGGAAAGATGAGAGAGCACTCCAGGCAGAAAAAATGATTGATAGAAAAATGACCTCTGAAGTCCCTGAGACTTGAGAGTGCCTTGAGTCCTGGCATCCTATAAGTAGCTCAGACCTTGAAGCAATGAAAGGTCAGCCAAAAGGTTTAATTTACATGGGCTCCAAGAAAAAGCAGAGAGGAAAGAGATGCAAACAAGTTTTAGTAACCAAGGAGGTATAGAGGATTAATATACAGTAGTCACTTCACTTTATAAAGTTATTTTCTGAGGGCCTCCCTGGTGGCGCAATGGGTTAAAGAACAGCCCTAAGTACCTATCTGCAGCCACTGCAGCTTGAGTTCAATCCCCAGCCAGGGAGGTGACCCACGAGGCACGATCGACCACTCCTGTCTGGCCCACTGCTCCCCTCAGCAGTCTATTTCAGTCAACCAGCCTATGCTATTTCCCACTCTGTCTCTGGTAGATCCTTTCATTCTCCCACCCCCTGCACCTCTGGCCTGTACCCCAGTTACTGTATGAATAAATAAATCTTAAAAAAAAAAGTTATTTGCTGGCAGCTCATTTAGTTTGTTCTAGAGCTAATTTATTCAAATCTGAGTTCCAAGGCCAAGACTAATTTGCACGTCCAAGAGTCATGCTTGTCTTGAAATCTAAATCCTATCATATTGTAAGTGGGAATCTGGAAAGATAGCAAATGCCTGTTCTGAATGTTACCATTTAATTATATTTGGAAAGAAAATAAAAGATGAAATAGAGAGATTCACTATTGATTACCATTAATTAATGTTGGCAGAATAGATTACATACTAAGCACCAAAAGTAAACCCTAATTGAGACTTTTCTATTTATTCCCACATCACAGGAGTTGCACCAGGGTCTGTTGTAATAACAGACACAGCTGTAGATTCCTTTTTTAAGCCAAGGTTTGAACAGGTTATATTGGACAACATTGTGACCCGAAGTACTGAACTTGACAAGGACCTGGCTGAGGAACTATTTAACTGCAGCAAAGAAACTCCCCACTTCCCAACACTTCTTGGACATACAATGTGTACCTATGACTTTTATGAAGGTGAGAATAATTTACAATCTGTGAAAGCAACAGAACTCTTAATGCCAACAACTTTTATTCAAACCCATAATTTATATTAAAAACTCTACTTTAGAAAATTAATAGTTAAGGATTTTAAAAGGGAAATCTAACAGTCTATTTTTAACTTACTTAAGCATAGGAACATAAGGATATAAGCAGCAATGGAAAAACTCCCATAATGAATTTACATTAACAGTAAGTTTAATCCTCCAAGAAGAAATTGAATACGCAAATGCAATTAGTGATATTAGCGAAAGCTTATCTCTGGGAGAAGGGGAATATGCTGATTCTATTTTTCTGCCATTTTTAGATACATTTACCTATCACTTAAATGGGATCTGGTATGTAGGACAAAGTGAAGACAGGCAATGGGAGTGATGTTTGAGGGAGGAAATTCTAAAGGGATGGACAAATCTCAGAGAGGTTCTTTCATCTCTCATCAGCCATGAATAAAAGGTCCCTGATTCAAGTTTAGGGACAAACTGAAAGTGATTGACAAGTAGCAGCTTTTACCACAAGGGGCAACGGGTCAGGAGAATAACATTCCAGAAGAAAGAATCTAATTCTAATTTAATCAGGCCCCATTCTGTGGAGGGCATTCTAGAACTCTTAGAGTATGTGTCTTAGTGTGTTCTCATTGTGTTGGGGATGTTTATCCAAATACATATTATTCCATTTTAAATTATTTTCACTCTCCTTACCCTTTAAACAGAGCATGATGTTGAATATTTAGAAGTTATACCACCCATAAATTTTGCTTCACGTTAGTAAAAGTACAGTCACCACACATGTGTTATAAAACACAAAATGTGGCCCTCCCTGGTGGCACAGCGTGTTAAAGCACTACACTGAGAGGCTAAAGCCACCTCCACATGAGTTCGATCCCAGCCTGCCCCGGAGGTGATCCACCTGGTGAGGCAGACCTCTCCTGACCCACCCGCTGCTCCCCTCAGCAGTGTACTTCATCAGTCAGACTGTTCTGCTCCCCACTCTGTCTCTGGTGAACCCTCTCACCGCCCCTGCACCTCTGGCCTGTATCCCATTTCTGTACGCACAAATAAATAAATCTTAAACACACACACACAATGTTGGCTCTGGTGGGTTTGACTCCCTCTCTAACAGGTCACTGGCTCCTTCCTGGGGAAGATCACTCACAGCTTGAAGCCAGAGTTTGCAAGTGGACACTCGTTGAAATTAATGTTTTCTTCAACCTGCACAATTTTTCAAAATTGAGTTATCTTGTCAAAATTTATAATTTCTGGGGATTTCATATGAAAATACACATTTTTGACTTCTTGAAATAACATAAGAGAAAAAAAATTGAAATACCTGCATAGCAGCCCTGGCAAGTCCCAGGCCCCACCCAGGGCTGTGTCTAAAGGAAGGTGAGATCCTACAGACCAGGCAGACCTCCTCAACGTTATCATTTTGCATCAGCTGAAGGAACACCGTGTGTTTTAGAGGCTTTGGCAGGCAGTCCTGGGAAAGACACACGGAGAAGAAAGACAGTGTGGCAGCAGCATGCTAGAGATAGTGGGAAGGGAGAAAAAGAGAGGAACGGGAGCCAAAAAAACGGTTGTGTAAACAATGGCGATAACGAAGAGCTACTGGCCCTTCTACTAACCTGGGTCATGCTTGGGAGCCGAGTGGGAAGCCTGTTCCGGAAGTGCTCAGGGTGGGGGGGTAGAGAGCATCAGGCTTTTCTCGCCCTCTGGCCACACTGATTGATACAGGTGAAATTAAATGAGAAAAGATTTTGGAGAACACAGGTGAAATTAAGTGAGAAAAGATTTCGGAGAACAGCTTAAAAAGCTCAATCCCACAAGGACAGAATTTAGCCTGAGAGGCCTGGGACAGGGAGAACGTAGGCAGATTACGTTGTATGTTTCTGCCCTCCTGAGGGGCGCCGAGATAGCTGACAGATCCAAAGCACTGTCCTGGTCCTAGGGTCACTGGGAGCATTGCCATGCAGCGCCTGCACCCTGTTTATTGCTGCCCCTCTCTCCCCACCCCCACACAGGGCAACCTAAGATTTTCCTCAAAGGGCAGCAAGCTAGTGATGACTAAGAGAACTCAGGGATGCCAGGGTCGCTGTGCTAAGGCATCAATTTGCTAAATATTCTCCTCTTTCTTTCAGGCCAAGGTCGAATGGATGGAGCACTGTGCTTTTTTTCCAGAGAAAAAAAGTTAGATTACTTGAAGAGAGCCCATAAAGCTGGGGTCAGGAATATTGAAATGGAATCTACAGTGTTTGCGGCGATGTGTGGACTTTGTGGACTAAAAGGTAAGCTGTTCATCAGTGCCTCGGGTCCAAGTCTCCTGTTTTATGAAATTATTTTCATCTGTGGGAGAAAAAAAATAAAGGAGTCTAGTTACATCTTACTTCGAGCTGAACACACACCAGATAATTGTTCATAATGTACATGAACGCATGTTAAGAGTGGGCAACACATTATTTTCATATGTAAATGAGGACAACAGTCTCAGGCAGCAAAAGTAAGTTGCCCAATGTCAGCAGCTGCTGGGCTTTATAGCCAGGACTTGACTTCAGGGTGATTTTCTTCATTCTGATATTGGCAGCTATTTTCCATTACAATTAGATTTATTGACACATGATACAGACAACTGTTTCTAAAATAGTCTATTGAGAGGATAATGTAATGGAGGAATGGTGTGGTTTAAAGTTAATTTACATGTAATTTTGTTTTTTGCAATTTATTTTGAAAAACTTCAAAACCCCAAAAATGTAAGGTAGTGTTATTGTAATGCGTCTATTTTCCGAGATTCAGTAATTGTGAATATTTTGTGACATTTGTGCTAAATATAGATATGTAAGTATTATATCTATATAATGCACGCACACACATTTGCTTTTCCCCTTGAATCACTTGTAAATGATCTATAAACATCATGAAACTTAATTTTTAATTACCCTGACATCATCTCCTCAGAGTAAAATATTCTACTAATGACAATACTAATATCAAATTGGCAAGATGCTTTAAAACCATAAAAATAGTTTCATAAGATCATTTAACATCCATTCCATATTTAAATTTCCCTAAAAAATATTTTTAAAGATTTTTTTAATCCAATATAGACTCAACATCATGCACTATCATACTTGGTCATTTTATCTCTGTACTTTGACATCTACAATAGTACTGCTTTTCTTTTTTCTCAGAAGAGTGGCTTGTTTGAAAATGTTTTGTCCCAACTTCTGTGACCGGTGGCAAGAAAGGAAGGCAGAAAGGCTGAGCAAGCAGAGTTTATTGCTCCCGGACAGCAGCTGAGATGGAGCCCCTAGGGTGGGGTCCGCAGTTACTGCCAACTCAATAAGGGGGAAAGGGTCTTTTATATAGATCTAGGTTCACATTCCAAGGGTGACTCATCGCTGTGTCCCCTGGTGCTAGGCCCAGTTCCTCCAACCTCTGTCTCCCGGATGCTAGGCCCAGTTGACTATCCGTTTGTTATCCCCTTCAACTAATCCCATATCAAGCTTGGATATCCGTATCAAGGCTCAATTCTTTCATTGTCAGTAAATCTTTGGTTCCCAACAGAAAAGTCAAGTTATCTTGTAGGTTATCCCATGTTCTAGATTTGCCTGCTGTTATAGTTTTATATGCTACTTGTTCATCTCTCTCGCATCTTTCCTGTAAAGTGGAAATCTGGTGGCTTGGTAAGATTCAGCTGATGGCAAGGCCACTCCACAGTAACACTGTGAACTTCCATTGTGCTACATCAGAGAGCTGGAATGTAAGGGTGTCCCAGTTTTAGTAATTTTGCGTTAGATCACTTGGTTCAAACAGCAACTGCTCTCTCTCTCCCTTAAAAAGTTTTCTCCTTGTAGGTAGCAAGCAATCTCTGGGGTATAATTTAACACTGCCTGAATAGTCTGTAAGCCAACTGATTTTTACCCGATGATTTCAGCAGAGGCTGCAAAATAATTTTCTAATTCTATTATTCCTCCTACAGTTATTAGCTGGCATTCTTCTTTAAAAAGAACATTTCTTCCTCCTACTCCTATCTCCCTTTTTTCTTTCTTTCTTTCTTTCTTTTTTTTTTTTTCCTTTTCCTTTTGGTTGTGTAAGGATTTTGTTCAAATCAAATTGTGCATGCCTTGTTTCTCATTTTTCTTTTGGTTACTCAAATTTTCCCAAACTTTGTGAGCAATAGCCCTTCTAGAGCACTTTTCCCCCTTTGCAATATAATTCCAATGACTGTTAAGAATTTTCTTGCATTCAGGCACAAGTTGTATGTTCCTTGCCTCAGGTGGAATCAACCACTTCTCCAAGAAGCTCTGGTTCCTTGTGGTAGAGAATGGTATTTAAACATCAAATAATAGTGTAACATGTCTTTATTTTTGGTGAAATTATCAGCACCCAGAAAACATGTTGAAGTAAACATAATTTGCATGAGATCTAATCAGTATAACTCTTCCATGTGACTTTAAATTATTTTCATAGTCATCCTCTGGATAAAGAATTGTACATTTTACTGATGAAAAAAGGTAAAGCTGCAAAGTGATATTCTTTATTACATTGGCTACAAAAGCATCATCTAATGTTTTGGGTAAAAAGCAGTTAAGAAAATGTTGGCACTCCTCCCTAACACTCCCCAACCCCCTCCAGGAGTCACGGCTTTGCTTTTCACATAAGCAATTATCTTTTTTTCTTCAGAAACTGTGTCATCCATTCAAAAGTGTTTTATAGCATGTCTATTGAGTCCATGGCATAGTACTACAAAGCATGGTCTTTTAATAAGACCTTTGGCTGGTAAGATTTATCTCAATAATTATCTTCCTAAAGGAAGAAGGACTCACTCCTGTTCATCAGCTCAGAGCCTGGGTACACAGACACTGGAGCGGCAGCAACAGACTACACAGACAAAAATCTCTGTCCTTATGGAGTCTAGTGAAGAAGACTAATGACAGCAATAAAGAGGAATGAGTAATATAGTGTGTGTTAGATGCTGAGTGCTATGGAGAAAAAGAAGGCAGGGAAAGGGAAGAAGAATGACCAAGGTAAGGAGGACAATCCTCATTTTAAATAGTGTGGTCAGGGAAGCATCCTGAAAATGCCATGTGCAATTCCTGGGAAGAGCAGCCTGGGAGATGAAAGGCTAAGACCACAGGGCAGGTGCATCCATAGCATGGTAAGGAACATGGAGTCAAGTGTGGCTGGAAGGGAGAGAGCAGTGGTAGATGGAAGGTGTACATGGTGAGGTCACTTCGGGAATGGCACTCTGAGTAAATGGGAGGGTTGTGATTAGAGAAGCTGTTGCATCTGACTTGTGTTTTAACAGTTTTACATTAGCTATTGAGTTGGAAAGAAACTGGTCCAGGGCAGAAGGAGAAAGTGAGGATGGTTAATATGAAAGAGAGTTTACTAACCAGTTAAGCACAAAATTCCTATTTGTACAATATGCTGACCTTTAATAAGTTTGATGATGACCTTCAATTCTTTCATTGGAGTCATTGATTGGCAGCCAGGGAGTGTTCTAGGCTTGCGAACTTGTGAATGCTGGAACAAAGTATTTCTCTCTTTAAGGATGTTGACAAAATCTTAGAGAAGTTATTCTTTATGAGGAATTTTCTGTCCTTGCTGCTAAACCTTGTAACCTTGCTTTCTGTCACCTGGGTGTGACCTCCTGGACTCTTCCCTCTCTAGCTCACTGTAATTCTGTTTTACATATAATTTTCCTTTTCTGCTGGTGCTGAAGCTACTGGACATTAATTTCAGCCTGCCAGTAGCTTTCTTCCAGGCCACTGCTACATTTTCATTGAGCAGATGCTTTCTGGACTGCTAACATTCACACTCAAGGTTGCATCCATAACTCGAATTTTATAGTTCTGGGAAATAATTTCTGCCTGAATTTCTTTGTGGTGACATGATCTCCTTCATCTATAACTATTTTAAAGGGTGAGATCCTGGTACAATGAACCCTGAAAGATCAACCACTGAGGACACAGAAATAAACCCATGCCTATGATGCTATCATGTTCTTATCTTTTATCCCCACTTCATAGCCTTCTTCCTTCATGTCACTGAAGCTGCCACCTTGTAGTATTAACTCATTTTTAACCCACTCTGTGCAAGCCAAAAAAGCTTGCTTTGGGGAAGAACAGGGGGGTCTTTTCAAACAGCTGTTGAAGCATAGAGAAGTTAGGGAGGATAACTGCATGGCACATAACACAGGAAAATAGGTTTTGCAGGCACCACAAGATGCAATTGGGCTCTCAGACCTGCCACCCTGCTGTTAGCATGGCCCACCTCACTGCCTCCAGGCGGCCTTCTCTAGTGGCCTTTCCTGCCCCTTTCATACTACCAGATGACTGGACAACTAATCTGAATCCATATGAAGGCAATGAAGGTTAATGATCTCAGCTTCTAAATAATAATATCTTACTTAAACAAAGGTGGTGTGGAAACCCTTGTCCTAACTCAGCAGAATTACTCACTGAGTAAGGAGAGGTGCAGATACAGATATTTCTGCATCTGCCTGGCTCAGTGAACTCTCAGCTTTGTAACTAATATCAGAGCTCATCTCATCAGAGAAACCTTGCAGGACCACCTAAACTAAATTTATATCATCTTCTCTCTTTCATCTCTGCATCATATTTACCATTATAGCCTATTTATGGTTTCTTTACATATCACCTTCAGGCACTACTGTATATATTATACTATATACCATTACATATATTATATTATATACAATAATATTAGAGGTATGTATTTACTACTCTCTCCAGTGAGAACAGGGTCCTTGTGTGCCACTTTCTTGCTATATCCCAAGCATGGAGAATACTGTCTGCCACATGACATTCAATAAATATTTGCTAACTGATTGAACAAGCAAATGTACAAATGAACAAATGAATGAGTGAATGTATGAAAAGAAGGGCTACTGGACTTTTACCTTGGGAAATGGCTATTGCAAACTCAACTTGTTCCTCCCTCATTTTTCAACCATATTAGTGGCTTAGAATTGTCCATAGGTCATCATGAGGCCTCCTAATTCCAAATAAAAGAGACAAAGCCTTGAGTTCAGCTTCCCTTTGCAGCATGGCTCGTGCAAATACTTCTGCTATATTTATATCCACTGAATCTCTTGGTTTTTGATATGTGGACAAACTGCTTTATATGTTGCCATGGACACCCATAACTCACTGTTGTTATACTAATCTGGCAACCCTGGAAGAGTAGCTGGAAACCAATGTTGTTTTTAACTTAGATCCTGGTGAAGGGAAGTAGTGACATTCATGAGATTATTTTACATGAA